GTTGACAGGTTCTTCCACACACCAGCAGGGCCCCTATGCTCACAGCCCTATGATGACAATCTGCAGCCCATAGAGAATACATCCTCCTATTGGATCCCAGGCTCTAGTTGTGGGTGGTGGCCTTCTTCACCAGCCCCTACTTCAATATGCCTGGAGAACACCACCAGGGAGGAAAAAACAGGTAAAATGCAGCAAGCCAAGACTTAACAAGGGTGGCCTGGCATCTGAGTGGAGATGAAACACCTAAAACAAAAATATTAAACAAAAACACATGGAAAGCTCTGAAGTAATTTAATATCAACATCAAACCTCACATCCATTAGGATGGCTACTATCAAAAAAACAGGAGACAACAAATATTGGCAAGGATGTGGAGAAATTGGAACCCTTGTGCACTGTTGGTGGGAATGTAAAATGGTACAGCCACTGTGGAGGCTCCTCAAAAAATTAAAACTAGAACTACCATACGATCCAGCAATTCCACTGCTGGGTATATACCCAAAATAATTGAAAGCAGGGTCTCAAAGAGATATTTGTACACCCATGTTCATAGCAGCATCATTCACAATAGCTAAAACATGGAAGCAACTCAAGTGTCCATTGACCAATGAATGGATAAGCAAAATATGGTATATACATACCATGGAATATTATACAGCCTTAAAAAGGAAGAAAATTCTGACATGCTACAACATGGATGAACCTTGAGTACATTACACTAGATGAAATAAGCCAGTCACAAAAAGACAAATACTGTATTATTCCACTTCTATGAGATACTTAGAGTAGTCAAAATCATAGAGAAAGAAAGTAGAATGGTGGTTGCCAGGGGCTGGGGGGAGGGAGAATGGAAAGTTATTTTTTAGTGGGTACAGAGTTTCAGTTCTACAAGATGAAAAGAGTTACGGCGATGCATGGTGGTGATGGTTGCACAGCAACATGAATGTATTTAATACCACTGAACTGTACACTTAAAAATGGTGAAGATGGTAAATTTTATGTTATGTATATTTTACCACAATAAAAAAAGTGAAAAGAATGATGGGAAAATGTTCTATTTCCTTCTGAACATTGAGGCCGTTAGCAATAAAACGACACATTATGATTGTCCCAGAGTTGGGCAGTGAAATGCTGTCCAATTAGACCTGGCATCAAGCCAACTAGAGCCCCTGATTAACGCCAGCTGGGATATTCAGAAGCCGATGTATTGTTTTCTTGCGCTCTGTGTCAGGCAGGTTGTTGATATAAGGACTCTGTGAAAATGTTTACCGTGATTCTGGGCTTTCCTAATTAGAGTTTCTAGAAGCTCAGACTTTTCTCAGGGACTTTGACCCAGGGAGTGGAATCTCAAGGGCAGTGCTGGAACAGAGCTTGTGTGCAGTTAGTGACCTCGCGGAGCCCAGCTTACCACCTCCCGAAGGCCTTTCTGTGACCTATCACCTTTCTGTTTTGTCTGGAAAGAAAGGCTTGTGAAATACCCATGGTGGAGCCTAGGAAACTTTTAAAAAATTTCATTCTCTTACTGTTAGAATGAATATTTGAAAAGCTAAATCTGCACTCTAATGATAGCTAGCATTTCTCGATGCTAGTAACCAGTCCAGTGGGAGAAGCTGAGGTTTGGAGATGGTGGATGGCCTGCCAAGGACACACGGAGGGTAACTCGTCCACTGAGGATTTGAATCCAGTTCTGTATGGCCGATGCCCTTAACTTGCACACTACATCGGTATTCAGCCGTCAGACCTGCCTGCGTGGGCTGCTGAGGGAGCCTCTCCAGCCTTCACAAAAAGAACCTCCCTCCATCAAGATGTGCTTTACGTGAAGCCTGTCTGAGTTCCCCCTCTGACCAGCTTCCAACTAGTTGCAGCTGAGAAACTTCTCCCTTCTCGATCTTAAAAAAAAAAATAGTTTCCTTTGGTTATTTATTCACTGCAGAAAATCAGAGAAATCCTGAAAAGCACAGGAGGAAAAAATAATCATCCATAATTACAAAACCTTGAGATAATCTTTTAAAACAGCTTGACATATTTCCTATAGGCCGTGTTTTTCAGAGCCCTGTTGATCCCCGCCTGCCTACCAGCTCCTGACTCACCAGTGTTGGTGGTGTTCCCAGAGAGGCCCACCCAAGGAACTACCGACAAAAGGTCCAGGAAACTATGACCTGGAGCCCCCTGTGTCCTGGAAGCTTCTCCCTTTACTCTCATGAGTGAAGACTTGCTCCTCAAAGTGGCCCCCTCAACACTGTGTCCTGCCATCTTCCAGCCTCAACTGAAAGTCAGAATTTTGGAGCCAACTTTTGGAGAAATTCGGGAGAATTGATCCACAAAAAATGATACACCCTTTCCTCCCCGAACTTCTTATCCTGAGCATAATGCTGATTTGGTTCAAATCTGAGCCTGGGTCTTTTAGAAGCTAGGCACCCCACCGAGGCTACCATGGGGTATATAGTTACAGCCCTGGTAACTATCCAGGTCATAAATCACCCAACCCCTATCCCACTAGACTGTCCAGTAGAAATATAATGAGTGCTGCATGTATAGTTTTACGTTTTTAGTAGCCACATAAAAAAGTAAAAAGGAACAAGTGAAATTTTAATAACATTTTATTTAACCCAAGATATTAAAAATATTATTGTAATCAATATTAAAAATATTACTAATGATATATTTTACATTCTTTTTTGTGCTAAGCCTTTGACACCCTTACAGCACGTCTCAGTGTGGAGCAGCCACATTTCAAGTGCTCGACAGCTGCAAGTGGCCAGTGGCTGCCATATTGAACAGCATAGTTCCAGACCAATTTTAGCTCCACTTGGTGACCTGCAGCAGCCTTCCGACCATATCCCTATGCCCAGTTCATTTCCCAGCTAGTCCTGAATGCTCCAAGAGTGGGAGAAATGGAGAAGGGCCTTTTTGCACACTGGACAGGCCTTGCCCTCAGCATACTGGTTGGCAAGAGGCTGAAGCAGATGCGAGTCTCTGCAGATCTGGTGATGGAAGGTTCAGCATCATCTCCATATTTGAGCACAATCACCCTCAGGGAAGGCAAGAGAAGCAGATCCCACTCCCTTCTCAAAGCCTTCCTGGTGGCTTCCTGTTGCATACACAATAACGTTCAAACTCCGTAGTGTGCCACCTGGCCTGATTTACCTAATCTCCAACTTTATTTCTCATGACTCCTCTATGGGATCTTAGTTAAAGCCAAGCCAAAGCAACCTGGCACCCTACAAACATGCCTGGCACTTCCTGCCTCAGTATCCTTATATATGCCATTTGTTCCCAGCTAGAACATCCTCACCTACAAAATTCCCACTCAGTTCTGAAGGCCCAGTCCTCCTCTCTTCCCGGAAGCCTTCTTTAATGACTCCTGCTAGAAGGGTCTTGGTCCTTCTCTGATATCTACAACAACACTTACCAGGAATAACCAGGGCCACTAGTGTTGTATTTCAAGACATGCCATATTAACTTTTCACCTTATGTTGTAAACACCCAAAGGGCAAAGGCCAGAGTCTTGGGTGGTAGTAATAATAATAATAATAATAATAATAATAAATGATGGTTAACGTCTATTAGCAAGTACTGTGTTCCTGGCACTGTGCCAAGCTCTGTTCATTTAATTCTCACAACAACTCTGGGAAATTATTCCCATGTTATAGGCAAGAAAATGGAGGTGAAGAGAGGTCACTTACCCAGTCACACAGCCAAGTGTGGCTTCAAGCCCAGGCAGTCTGACGGCAGAGCCTAACCACTTCCCACCCAACCTACGCTCCACTGCCGCCCTTGCTGTGGCTGTTCCTTCTCTACCACAGGCTGTGAACTTGGTGGACAGCAAATACACATTTAGTTATATGTCAACTACTTGGGGTTTTCCCAGAGGATCTAACAGAGTGTTAGGCACATAATAGCGATTTAATAGATTTAAAAATTAATGCCCTGCACCTGCTCAGCCACCACAGGGCTGGACATTCCTTGCACAGCCAGAGCGTGGCGCCTTCCTCCATATCCCACCCCAACCTCAGCACCCACAGCTCTGGCTGCGCCATGCAGTGCAGCTCCCTAACTAGACGTCAGCTTTCTTCTCAGTCTTGGGGCACACCTTGTGCCATAGAAGACGTGGACCACGTAGTGGGGGGTAAAGAAGGTCCCCATGGGACACAAGTGAATCCCCCCCATTTCTATCAACCTTATCTGCTTATGTGGGGCTCTTATAGCTAAGAGGCAATTTAATCCACTCTCCTGGAACCCAAAAGTCACATACCCATTCCCCAGGGAGCTGAAGTAACGAGAAAGACCAAAGTTTAGGATTACTCTTTGATAAGAGCCTTGTTTAAACAATATCACAAATAAAGGCTGGTCTGATCCCCACACCCTTCTCTCCTCTGCTCCCCTCTCTCCTTTCTGTCTCTCTTGTTTAGAAGATTGCAAGATCGTGCAATCCACCCCAGAGACTCATCTCTGCCAGACCTAATGCAAATTGCTTTCCAACACGCAAATCTGTTTCCCAGCCCTCTTTGTGAGTCCTCTTCCCCCAGGCCTTGCCCTTACCTCCTCCCTGGGAGTTGACAGCTTGGGGATCCCCCGGGGGGCTGATTGCTCAGATCTGTTCCTGGGCACTTCCAGTTGGCACTTGCTCATTTACATTTTGAAACTAGAGCGAAGTTCAACACTGGTTGGCTTCACACCCTATGAATTGCCCGACCCTGGTTAGAAAATACAGACAATAGCAACCTGGGAAAAGTGCCCTCCTGAAATAGCACAGCCCCACAGCAACAGGTTTCTCTGTGGGGAGGCTTCTGGCTCTGCGACGGTCAAAACGCCCTGGGATGTAAATAGCAATGAGAAAAGGCCACTGTGCCACCATTAGGTTTCATGGTGGCGGGTTCATTTCTCCCTTACCCCCCCACCAAAGTGTCAGTTGTATTTTTTTTGTTTTGTTTAAACTTAGGTAAAAGTGTAAACACCATGGGTCAAGGCCTTCTGTTCTGCTTTTGAGCTGTGAGAGTTCCTTCCTTCTCTCTCCTTTTAGTGACCCAGCTCCTCTGTCTCAGCATTGTCCTCCCCATCCCCACTTCTGAAGACCAGTCCCCTGGGCTGCAAAGTATAGGTAACACCACTGCAGCCTCAAGAGTTTGGAGGGTTGAATGAGGCAGCAAAGCCCTGCACCTGGCACTGTGTCCCCCACCACCCCGCGACAGGCCCGTGCTATCTCAGGGCCACAATTAGGATGGGGTGTTGCAGGCCACCATGGGTGCATGCAGTGACGCAGGGAGCAGCAGTGGAGGACCTTCCTGGCACTTCCCCTCCACAGATACCTGGCAGGCTGCCCCAGCTGCAGGGTAGGGCCCCGGGAGCTTCAGGTGGAAGAGGCCAGCTCCCCGCACTGGTCCCTGTTTGCAGGATCCAGGCCAGGGCCTGACAGCCCTTTGGCACAGAACTTTTTGCACATTCCACAGCAACTGAAAGGGCTTTTGTCCCCACGCAGGAAGAACAAAACACAAAGGCAATCCTGTGTCTCCTCGCAGGCCCGCACAGCAGGCTTGGAAAGAGAAACTTCTCTCACCAAGAAGCCAGCTTTGCCTGAGCGGCTGCAGTCACAGATGTGGCCACACAGTCACACAACTCGGGAGCAGTGTGGCGTCTGAGTTCCCACGTGTGTGGCGGGGTGCGCATCACATGCACAGGACACACCCTCACACACACACAGAAACCCCAACAAACTGCTCCTGCCCAGACATTCAGGGCTGTGAATCACAGATGCCACAGCTGCAAGGGGCATCCGGCCCACCCCGTCAGGAGCTTACAGCTTTATTATTCCTCTTTTCCAGGTGGGGCCACAGAGGCCCAGAGGGTCCTACGACTTGTCACAGGTCACACCACCATTCCCACGAAGAACGTTAGGAGCATCAGAGAAAAATCTGTTTTCAGGAAGTCTCTTCCAGGGTCCCTTCAAAAGCACAGTTACTCACAGCCTATTGAGAGGGTTGCTGCTCCAGACTGCCCACGTGAGATCAATTACATGGAAGAAGTAATTCTGTCTGGGGGAGGGTGGATCTCTCCTTTTGCCATTTTCTCCCTCTTTATTTTCCCCTTTCTCCTGTAATTGCCATAAAGGAGACTGCAAGTTTGGAGGGTTTTAAAGTTTGTTTGTTAAAGCAAAAAGCTTTTCTTATCAAATGAAATTATTCTGCATCGTTTTATTGCATGCTGTGAATGGAATCACCCAACCCCTTTCCCCTGTAGGCTTGGTGCCAGCAAACTCAGTGCTGAGTTTGGTGGATCGGTTATGGTAACTGGTGCTCCTACGTGTCTGTCCTGGTGTTTGTTTTCATGTTTTGTGTCTTGTTGTATCCTAAGTTTAAATATCATAAGCAATTTGTGCTGTCTGTGCAAAAAACTTTTATCGGCGAGGAGTTGGGAAATCTATATATTATTTCTGGCTCTGCCTGACTGATCAGTTCTACTTTGAGAAAGACATCCCCTCTCCCTAGGCCCCGATTTCCTCATTTGTGAGACATGAGGAGTGACCTGTCTGTGTCTCCTAAGCCTGCCTGTCACAGCATCACCTGGGGCTCTTATTAAACACCCAGATTCCCAGACGCCTTCCCTGGATGGGGTGGGGGGCTGGAATCTGGATCTTTAAACCAAGCCCCCCAGTGGATTCTTATCTTCTGGCAAATCTGGAAAACACTAACACCAGATGGTTGCTAAGGTCTTGTGCTATGCTATGATCTATAATTCATATAAATAATTCTTTAGAAAGAAGATGAAGTATGATTTTGAAATTATATGTCTTGTATTTACTGAATATCATTTATTATGATCCTCAGTTTTCATCTATAAACACACGAGGGGCACACTTTGTATTTCCCTTTGCAAGCTAAAAACCCCACCCAGGTGCTTGTTCCTCATGCCGTTGGATTTTGATGAGGGTCGGCCCTCTGACTCCTGTTCCTGGAGGCTGTGCTGCTTTGGGAGCTCAACAAAGGTTTCCCCAGACACTTGCTTGACTCCCTCCCTCACCACCCTCCCTTGGGTGTTTAGTCAAATGTCACTTAGCAGTGAGGCCTTCCACGGGCTAATATTGCAGCTCCCTCTGCATTTCCTATCCTTCTTCCCTGCTTTGTTTCTCCTTAGCAATCATCACTATTAACCTACTGAATACTTCACTATGTATCTTGTTTGTCGTCTGTCTCCCCCACTAGAATGCAAGCTCCTGAAGGGCAGGGATTCTGTCTGCTTTGTTCCCTGCTGTAGCCTCAGTGCCTGGGCTGGGCCATGGTAGGTGCTCAGTCAATATTTTTGGAATCAATGAAGGAAATGTTTGCTGGATGAATGAATGAATAAATGAACTTCCAGGAAAGATCCCAATGTTTGACCCCAAGAAACAGCGCCTCCAATCCCATGGCAGGCTCCAGGCTTCCAGCAACTGTGTTCCTAGCCTCTGGGCTCATGCACACACTGGTCACATGGGAATCCCAGGATTGAGCCGCCTCTTGGGGGACTGGACATGACTCAGTCCTGTTGCTCCTGAGGGACAGGCCCCTGTGCTCCCCTGCTCACAGCTCCCTCCTGGATGCCTGACCCTGACTGTGCCCTTTGACACAGCTGCTCCTCCTCCCTTTCTTTCTCTTCCTTTCCACCATCCCAATGAGACTTTGGTCACCTCCTCTCCAGTCTGGGGTTGTCCAACTCCCAGCCACACTCCCGAACCTTTCTTTATTATTTTTGTGTGTCTGTGAGGAAGATTAGCCCTGAGCTAACATCCATGCCAAGCCTCCTCTTTTTGCTGAGGAAAATTGGCCCTGAGCTAACATCTGTGCCCATCTTCTCCACTTTATATGGGACGCCGCCACAGCATGGCTTGACAACCGAACCTTTCTTTAAACACAAATTTTTCTTATTAAAAAGAGAGATAATAACGGATGCTGGGATCCATCTCTCACCTAGAGGGATGAACCAGATAGAGTCACAGGACCACGAGGGAGGTGAGGTTAAGCAGAGGCCTGCACTTGCAGCTCTCCTCACACAGCTAGCCTCTGTGATGTTTAATATAAACGAGTAGTGAATTAGGAGAAAATGGTTCTGCATGCTCTAAACTGCAGAAAGTTTAGAAGAAACATGTAAACAAAAAGAAGACAGCCAGCTATAACTGACACAGAGATGCTCAGTAGTACCAGGCATTGTTCTCAGTGCCTTTACAAATATCAACTTACTGCATCTCACAACAACACGTAGAAGCAAAACATTGCTGTGTTTCCAAAGCCAGGAAACATTTCCTATACCAATCAGGCAAAACAAAACAAAAACAAAAACAAAACACGAAACATATTGCATCCTGAAGTAAACCAAAAACAACAGGCTCAACCCTGACTGATCGTGGTACCCAAATAATAAAACCTTGATTGTTTCCTGTGAACATGGACTCCTTAACAAAAACGGTTCTATCCCTAATTTTTGGTATGCTAATGTCTAAAGATGTGGTGACCTTCGTGAATATGATAATCGTGGGAGAATGTTATTATTTTTCCATAATAAGCAGACTAATGTAAACTTGGTAGCTACATTATTTTTCTAGTCACCATAACAAATTACCACAAACTTGGTGGCTTGAAACAACAGAAATTTTTCTCACAGTTCTGGAGGCCAAAAGTCCAAAGTCAAGGTGTCAGCAGGGCCGTGCTCCCTCTGAAGGCTCAGGAAGAGAATCCTTCCTTGCCTTTTCCAGCCTCTGGTGGCTCCTGGCGTTCCTGGCTTGTGGCTGTATCTCTCCAATCTCTGCTTCCGTCTTCACATGGCCTTCTCCTCTGTACCCCTTGTCTTCTCCTTTTCTGTCTCTTATAAGGACACTTGTCATTGGAGGTAGGGCCCACCGGGATAATCCAGGATGATCTCATCTTGAGATCCTTAAATTAATTACATCTGCAAAGACCCTTTTTCCAAATAAGGTCACATTCACAGGTTCTAAGGGTGAGGACATGGATATATCTTTTGGGGGGAGTCACCATTCAACCCACTCCAGTAGCCTTGGTAATTGTGCGTATTTGTTTGTTTGCTTATTTAAAGGCTATTGTTATGTTTTCATATTTAGAGAGCCATTCCTGACTCTCCTGCAGTCTTTGTAAGTAAATTTTCTCTTTCCTTTTCTAAACTTCTATCTCAGTTTTTCTTCGACAAACTATGATGTAGGTTTGCCCTATTACTATCCCTGTTTTAGAGATGAGGAGACTGAGGCACAGAGAGGTTGAATGACACGTGAATTACTTGAATTCACACAGGCAGTCTGTTCCAAAAACACCCTCGCCTGTAACTTAACCACTCAAACAATCACCAACACTAACCTTTTGATGTTTAAACTTCCAGTCCTTTTCGCTCACTTGGGGCTTTGGATCCACGGTCAGTGAGCTGTGTCGGCCCCTGGGAGACTGATTTTCTGTGGGGCAGTGAGACCAGAGTGTTAAGAATAAAGTGAAACAAAGCATGCTGGCAAGAAAGAAGCAGATGTGAGCAATCTAAAGGAAGAATATAGATGAAAGAAAACTATTGAAAGCCTTAAAAATGAGATTCTTTTGCAGTGACGTCAGCATCATGGCGGAGTGAGCTGTTCCCTTAGTCTCTCCTCCCTAAGATACAACCAAAAGGACGTTCATTAACCAACAGACACCCACACAGCACAATAGGATGTCAGGGAGATCCACACAGCCATACATCTGAAGGTGGGGGTAGTGAATCCCCGGGAAGCAGCAGAAGGAGGTGAGTGGATCTCCTCCCCCTCTCCAGCAGCAGGGATCTAGGGTGCGGGACCTCACACTGCAGCTGGCATGTGACTCTAAGAGGAGACAGGAGAACAAGCAGGCCTCTGTAGGAATGCTTTCACTTTCAGAGTTGCATCCCAGCCCACAGGAATACTCCACACTGAGGTGGCTCAGCCACCACGTGGGTGTCCCCACCAAGCCCAGCAGCCCACGCAGGCCACCAGTGAGTGCAGAGTGGGCTCGCACACACAAAAGAAAGTTCCTCTCCCCTCCCCTCCTGCCTGGTGCACCAGCTCAGCTGGGCGGCCAGGGCAGCGGATCCGCACCAGAGCATCTGCGCCTGTGCCTGCGTGTGGGACCCGCCAAGCAGCAGCGGCCAGCAGGCAAACGCAGAGAGCCCTATTGGCACAGCTTCCAGGGGATGGATGTGGTGGGTTCAGAAAACACAGCTCCTGCCTCCCCCCAGTGGTGGCAGGTGGAATCTGTGACCAGATACTATCACTATGTGCCTCAAAAGTCCACTTAATAAAACACCATAGGGGCTGGCCCAGTGGCGCAAGCGGTTAAGAGCGCACGCTCCACTGCAGCAGCTCAGGGTTCGCCGGTTCGGATCCTGGGCGCGCACCTACACGCCGCTTGGCAAGCCATGCTGTGGCAGGCGTCCCATATATAGTGGAGGAAGATGGGCATGGATGTTAGCCCAGGGCCAGTCTTCCTCAGCAAAAAAAGAGGAGGATTGGCAGGTGTTAGCACAGGGCTGATCTTCCTCAAAAAAAAAAAAAAAACCACCATGAAGAAATACATTAACACTCCAGATCAGAAGGAAAATGACGAGACAGAAACCAATCCTGAAGTCACAGAAATTTACAACCTAAATGACAGAGAATTCAAAATAGCTATCATAAAGAAACTCAGTGAGTTACAAGAAAAATCAGAAAGACAGTTCAATGAACTCAGGAATAAAATTAATGAGCAGAAGGAATTCTTCACAAAAGAGATTGAAACTCTAAAAAAGAGAAAAACCGAAATGCTGGAGATGAAGAACACAATGAATGAGATAAAAAGCAATCTAGAAGCCTTAAAAAATAAACCCGACATTATGAAGGATGGAATTAGTAATTTAGAGGACAGAAATATAGAA